GTCGCTGACGAGCTTGCGGCCTCTGCGCTCGCCCATGCGTTGGGCACGACGATCCTCGTTTCTCCGCCGGGGGCGGTACGAACGCTACTTTGGGAAGACATGGTTGGAGCTAGAGTTCAGCGTGGAAGCGCTTAGCATGCGCTTGGTATCCTGTAGTAGCTAACCCCGGGTTTTTACCCTCCTTTTGCTCCAAAAAAAAAAAGTGACGTTTGATTGGACAATTTTGTGCCTTACTATCATATTTGATAAATGTTATATTATATTTATTTTTACCTACTTTCTTATCTTATTATTAGATTCAAATCCTTTAATACGGAGTAACTCTTATCTTCCCCTACTTTTGAAATAAAAATGAGAAATAAAAAAATAAAAAGGTATGTCCATTCATTAAAATATGAAACTTTAATATATATACTCATATATGTATGTCACTGTAAATGTATTATATATTTTTATATGTTTATTTATTTTTATTTTATTTACTTATATTATTTATTTATTTTGATTCCAATTCATATTTCCTCTACTTAAATCTATTACAATTATCAAACATTTGATTCTAACTACCATTTCAATTTCAATGTTTGAACCCACTTTATTAGTTTTATGACAATGCCTCACCTTGGTTTGTAATTTATTGTTATTATGTCTAACTAGTACTCTACCCGTGCGACGCACGGCTAAAATAAAATAAAAATAATATATATATATATATATATATATATATATATATATATATATATACACACACACACACACACACTAGTAATTCATCCGCGCGATGCACGGAAAAAAATTACATTATTATAAATATAAATAAAAAATAGAAAAATTAAAATATTTTAATTATTTAATATAATAATATTTTTGAGCTTCTATTGGTCAAGTATTTTTATAGAATACAAAATTACAATTAAAATTATAATTATAATTTTGTATGGTTAATATAATCTCTAATTATGTGCATATTCAAATAAACTTATAGAGATTATTTACATAATTACATTGATTTATTCTTAATTGTATTTCATCTATATTATAATTTTCACAATACAAATAATAACTAAGATAATTACATTTGGAAAGCAAATTTCAAATTTTGTATGTGTAAATTTAAACTCTAATTGAACACATTTTTTATATGTTATATAATATATAGCTATTTTATATTTCAAAAGTATATTTTTTATATGATTATATAATATATAGCTATTTTATTTTTTAAATGTTGTGCTTTTTTTTTTTTTTAATAAAGGATGTTGTGGCATTAATTATTTCCCAAACCATATAGCTTTATTATATAAAGGATGCAATTGTCCGTTATTATTTTTTATTGAGTTAATACCCAAAAGTAGTTCTCGACTATGACAGTTTTTCTCAATTTTATTCTAAACGACTTTTGTGACCCAATATAGTCTCAGACTTGTGTGTTTTTGTTCAAAGTATTCCTCCATTTGCCATCATACAGTTTATTTGAGTGATTGAATAAATCATAGAATTCAATGTACTATTGGAAATTGACGCTTTAATACTCTTATCACCATTAAGCTAGAGGAAACGAATCAGTTTAAAAGAAATTGTGTTTAAAAGAAATTATGTGTTAACCGTGATTTTTCCTATCAATTATTTAAGAAATATTTTTTCAAATTAAAATTTCATACCGTGCATTGTTGAGAAATTAATTTACGTCTTATACTAAATCAAAATTTTTGAAAATATTTTTTTAAAATTCCATATTTAAATATACTGAATTTACACTCAAAAAAAAAAAAATACTGAATTTAGAAATTTTGATACGTACGATTAATAATTTAAATTATGTTGGTTAAAACTCTAGGGTCCATTTACTAACTGGAAATTTTTTCAATTTTTTGAAAAAAATTGGAAAATTGGAGAACAGAAAACAAAAAATAGAAAACATGTTTACTAGCACAGTTATCCATTTTGAAAACAGGAAACAATTTTCTAAAAAAAAAAACTGTTTTCTAAATTGAAAACATAATCATATGTTATCTATTTGGTTGTATGTCACTATAACCACATAATTACATTCTCACCATTATCTACTTACATATTTATTCATTAATATGATTACATTCATTATCATCTTCTTTTACTTATCACTATCTCTTATCTTTTCTTCTTGCATTACTTAATTAAACATAACTGTTTGCTTATACTTAAAGTTAGACATTATTCACATTATCAAGTTTGAAGTGTTCAATCAAGCTTAAAGTTAGACATTATTCACATTATCAAGTTTGCATTACTTAATTAAACATAACTATTTGCTTATGCTTGATTGAACTCAATTGATTATTAGTTCAGATATTTTTAATTATGTTATATCGTAATACAAGTTTGGGCCGGATATCGGATATTGAAATGTCACATATATTACTATATTAGAATTCAAAGTAAAAATTATATATTTATATACATGTCATTCAAATGAATAGATCCAAAAATATTTTAAATATTAACTAAAAAAATATTAATATTATCTAAACTAAATTTTATGTGAACATAATAGGTTATTGGTTTGGATATATTTTTAGTTAAGTTATATACGTATATAAATTTGGTTCGGATATCAAATATAAAAATCTTACATTTTTTTTTTGAACGTTACTATCTGTTCATATACTTTCTCAACCTACTGAAACACAAAGAACCAATATCACCTCCACTGAGGCTCGAACTTGTAACCTTCCAAATGAAAGTCCAACTCGGGTACCATTAGACCACATAGTCTTGGTATAAAAATCTTACATATATTAGACTTAAAAAGTAAAAATTATATTTATTATAGAGTTAATTACCAAAATGGTCCCTTGACTATAGCGAAATTACCAATTGTAAATGCAAAACATTAAAACAAAAGAGATATTTAAAAAAAAATTACTAAAAACTATATGTGTAAATATTATTGGATATGGGCGAAAAATAAAACACATCTAGGCTTTATAAAAATATTCATAACAAAATATGAAACATAATTAATTTGATAAAATAATTTGAATAAAAAATACATTAGAATTAAATTACGCATCTCATATATATATATATATATATATATATATATATATATATATATATATATATATATATATATATATATATGTATGTATGTATGTATGTATGTATGTATGTATGTATGTATGTATGTGTATATATTTAAAAAACTACTAAAACGTGATTGTGTTAAAACCCAGTAGCCAATTTAAAAAACTACTAAAACGTGATTGTGTTAAAGCCCAGTAGCCAAAAAAAATTGTAGAACTATATTGACAACCATAAGATTCAAACCCCTAACCTTTGTTAATATTATAACCAAACACATGCTCTACCAACTAATCTAACTCAATTTTTAGTGACAATGAACAATTTTTTATACTAATACAAAGATTATATATGGGGTGGGGTGGGGTGTGGGGGGGGGGGGTAACTGACCTCCCTGCCTCCCCTTTGGCTCCGTCCATACTACTAACTCTATTATAAGGTAGTAAGAGTCAATACCCTACCATCAGAATTCGATCTTGTGAACTTCCCTCAAGGGGAGCCACATAAGTGCCATACGAACACAAGGTCTTTAGCTGATAAATAGTTCTTGTTTACGCATAAATGAAGAAAAAATATTTGTAAAATATACACACACATTTTTTATATTAGTACTTTTCTTATGTGTTTTATCGTATCCTAGGATTATTGTCATCCTTTCAGGTTTCCATGAATTTTGGATAGTCACTCCTAAATTGTTTTGGCACTTTAGATTACTTTTCAGGGATTTTAGTAATAAAAAAATAGATGCATTTGTAATCTTTGTCATTTCTTAATTGTATAATGAGAATATCATTTGTATATGTTGTTTATTTCTATTGTGTAATATTTTATTAGTATTCATCCCATTGTTAACAAAATATAAATTTATACCATGAAAATTAATACGTAGACAAGTTGCAGAAGAAAAAGATTTAACCTCAACTTAAGTATGTACCACTCATCATCCTATTAAGCATGCATTATATAACATTCTTTTTGGTAGGAAATTAAACTAATTAATATATTCAAATGAATTTAATTAGGAAATACAAAAGAAAATATACAAGCATTATAAAAGAAAAAAAAAAAACCATATTTAGTATGTATATAGGATAGGGTTCAGTTGAGAACAAGTTCTCATGTAAAAGTGATGACTAATCTAATCCATGTCATTTATTTAGTTGGAGTTGGAATGTTAGATAAACAGTTGAGAGTTGTTAATTAATAAATAAACGGCAAAAGGTGGGGTAAATTATATAAATTTTGCAAATTTGAAAGTTTGTGATGAATGTCTTAAACTATTGCTTTTTCCTTGCACATTTTGGTATTTTTGCTTGTTATACATTATATTATGAAGTCATTTTGGTCACTTATGGAATTATTGCATGTGTTAGGTGATTTGACAAAGAAAGGATGTTTTGAGGCATTCAATGAAGTATTTGATCAAGTTTTTTTGGAGCTGTCTTAACACGAGAGGACAATTGGATGACCAAAGTAATGATTTTTGGACTTTTGAGATGGACCATGTCGTGACCTGCCATCGAGAAGAGCACCGAAGCGATCACAACTAATCCCGGTTAGAACATTATTTTCTTAATATATATACATTCAATTTGAGGTTATTGATATTAATTAATGTTAACTCAAGTTGTAAATCTACTAAGCTAGTCTTACAAATTGCACACAATTATATTATAGGATGAGAAAAATCCAAATGATGAGGAAGTGGACATCCCTCTCCAGTATAGAAAAAGAGGCTGCAATTGGAAGTTGCAAACCAGAAAGCGTTTGCAAACTGGAAGAATTGAAAAGGTAATTTATTTATTGTGTTATTATTTAGTGAAAAGATCAACACAAAGATTATAGCAAAATTAATTCGATCTTAAAAGAACACTCTCATCTTGACCAATGAACAAAAAAATCTCATACATATAAACTCAATATATATACATTAGACATGTAATTAAACTGGATTTTCTTGACTGAAACTGATTAATTAGGAGCACCATATACCACAACATGTAACATGTTCAGATCACATATTCTCCAAGCAAAGTAAGCTTGGAGTTACAAATTAAATGGTCATCCCACTATTGTCTAGCTCCTCATGCCATAAAAATGAATATTTTATTATATTTTGCCTAAATTCTATAATTCTGCCAGTTTAGATTCCTTGTGAAAAAAGGTGGAATCCCCCATTTCTCGCAGCTCCTTAGTTTATGGAGGGGAGAATTATGGTGGCTCACGGTCTGACAGTTTGTGGAAACTCAAATGACCAACAGAGGTTAGATTTTTGCTCACTTTGAGATGTTTCTCTTGCCTCTTTATCTTCCTCTTCGTCATGTTCATCTCCTTGCTGCTTGTATCCATGCATGGAGATATTAGCTTCAACAACAAAGGTTAGAAATGATTTTAGGTCTTTTAGAACAGACACCATCTCTAACAGAATATAACCCGCCAGACTTTCTGAACCATCAAACAATGGACGCCTAGAGGTATAAAAATCCTTGCTATAAGCTAGCAAAGCCAAAGCACCATTAATAATATTTGTTGTGATGTCCATATATCCTTGTTTCTCAGTTCAGAAGAACGGGAAAGAAGTAGCCCACTGCAACAAAATACCCAAAATGAAACAATTAGAAAGGTAGATAAACAGAAATATTATATATAGCAAAATAAAAAGAATATTAATCTTACATATATATAATCAGATCTAAAAAAAATTAAATAGATAAAAGCAAAAAAATAAAAAATAAAAATCAAAACAGCCACAAAAGGAATCAAAATCTGTGGCTCACCAAGACAAAAAAAGTAATAGATTAACAAAAATATTATAGCAAAATTTCAAACAGTATCATTTTGACAGATGAACAAAACAATCTCAACCATATAATTCCTCAAAAAAAAAATCTGGGACAAATACACACAATATACATTATACAAGAAAAATAGAGGTGAAACATAAGATCGGATTCTACAATGTTGAATGTCCAATCCCACATAAAATCTATTTTTGAAGAAAAATCATACATATACACAGATATAAAAAAAATAAAAGAAAAATTCAAAACAGGCCGATAAGGAATGAAAGGTAATTTCAAAGTGGCTCACCAAAACAAAAAAAAAAAAAAAAAAAAAAAAAAAGATCAACGAAAATATTATAGCAAAATCATATTATATTGATCTTAAAAAACACTAATTTCAACTGGTGAACAAAGAAATCACAAATATACATATAATTGCTCAAAAAAAAAAAAAACTCAGACCTATATATATATATACTCAATATACATTAGACATGAAAGAGGTGAAATACATACGTGATTCTATGCATTTCATAAAATCAAAATGAAACAGAAAGAAAATAACCACCATACATATGTGTTTAAGTGCAAGTGCTAAACTGAAAAGAAATAGAACTCTAAGACAAAATCCCAAAAATGAATCAACAAGCAAATTTATGATTACTCGCATGGCTAAAATTATTAGGGCAATGCATAGAGAACAACAAAAAATCTCACTAAAAATCTCATATATAATCAGAGCTTCGAAAAACAAAAACAAAACAACTAGAGAACAAATCAAGAGTCTGGAAAGATATTCTTGATATGTCTCACCCAGAGATCAAAACAAAAATCAAAGGAAACAAGAATGGGACAAATGGAGAAAAAGTAAAAGTTCAATCTTAGAACTTACAAGACAATTCATAAAAAAAAAAAAAAAATTAGAGCAAGGTTCTCTACATTTTAAAGATGGTGTGTATTCGTTGATATGTTGAACACTGAAGTTTCAATGTTATATAGGAGGAAGATGGAACCTGAATGACGTAAGCTCTTGCGTCACGTTTTCCTAGCGTATATGGAAATTCTCAAAAATAAGATTTTTTTCCATTTGAAGAAATATTTTCGTCCATCAATTTATGAAAATTTTATAAAATGTCTAAAAATCTATATATATATATATATATATATATATATATATATATATATATATATATATATATATATATATATATATATATATATATATATATATATATATAAAAGTAAAATCCTTCTAGCCAACTTTTACCCCAGAATTTAGGGACATTTTTGTAATATCATCCATTATTTATATATAGATATTATATACAATTAATAATTAATAATATTTAATATATATATATATATATATATATATATATATATATATATATATATATATATATATATATATATATATATAAACAAAATCTTCCTATTTCATTTTTCCGCTCAAACTTTTGTAGTAGAAATTATAAATTAGATCAATTGAAGGTGTTAGCTCTAGACAATGATGGACAAGATTGTGTTGTTACTACCAATGTCGTCTACAAAGAGGTTTCAATAATGTTTATATGTTTATATAATTAAAAGTAAAATCCTCATAGCCAAATTTTCCCCCAAAATTTAGGGACATTTTTGTAATATCATGCATTATTTATATATAGATATTATATACAATTAATAATTAATAATATTTAATATACATATGGGAAGAAGAATATTATTATACTAGGAAATTTAAAATTTAAAATTAGATATTAGGGTAATAATATATATATATATATATATATATATATATATATATATATATATATATATATATATAAACAAAATCCTCCTATTTCATTTTCCCGCTCAAACTTTTGTAGTAGAAATTATAAATTAGATCGATTGAAGGTGTTAGCTCTAGACGATGATGGACAAGATTGTGTTGTTACTACCAATGTCGTCTACAAAGAGGTTTCAATAATGTTTAAATAAAATCGTTGATATTATGTTTTTTTAAATGACAAAATTGCTATATATCTAGACAAAAATATATATCTTTCATACAAATGAATTAAGATAACAATTCATTCATATAACTGAGTTGCTAGAGAACGAGCGCATTTGCCTAATTTATAAGAAAAATACTAAACAATGATAAATAAAATCTCCAAAGTTACAGCACCGCATGCGTACATCTACACATTAGCTATTAATTTTAGCAATTAATTTCTTAAATTCAAGCAATGATAACATCAAAACACATAAATGATCCAAAGCGTATCTTCAATTGCACTATATAATATTTGATGTTCTAATTTAAATAATTATATATCGATCCAAATATTCTTAATATATTATCACATATCTATTCCGTGCATTGGACGGGCGAAAATACTAGTGATTCTCTAATTTTAGAAACTTTAAACTACTTTTCAAATAGGCCGGGGACCCGGGGTGAACACAAAATGGATTGGAGAGGATTTGGGGAAAATCCGCATCCGCAAAGGGTGCAAATCCAATCCACTAATAGTAGATTGGATGCGAATCGAATGACGGATTTTAAATTTAAAAAATAAAATAATTTATAGTACAAGATTTCAAACATAATTTTGAATCTTCCTAAACTTCAATACTTTTGATATATATATATATATATATATATATATATATATATATATATATATTGGTTCTAAGCTTTCTCTTGGGACATGTTCTCATGGGAGTATGACCATATCATGTCCTCAAGTAAAATTCTAAAACCAATCCCAGTCTTACATCTGTAAAAATCGAAAGGATTAGATTTGATTTAAAAAAAAAAAATGCTATGGCATATATTATTGTAATTACCGTCAATTTTACTGTGAAACTTTTTATATATATGGATCCGTGATCTAATCCATCTGCTCCGATATGGATCCACTTTGTGAAAATCCGCCACTAGTGGATAGGATATGGATGTAACTTCTAAAAATTCGCTATAACAAATTCGCTATGCTAATCCATTACCTAAACGACGTAGTTTTATACTGATATATATATAGAAAAAAAATCTAATTTTGAGAATTTCCATACAAGAAATTAAATATGACGTAAGAGCTTACGTCATTCAATTAACATCTTCGTCCTATATAACATTGAAACTTCAGTGTTCAATACATCAGCGAGAACACACAATCTTTAAAATTTAGAGAACCTTGCTCTAATTTTTTTTTTTTTTTTTTTTTTTTTTTTTTTTTTTTATGAATTGTCTTGTAAGTTATAAGATTGAACTTTCCCTTGTTCTTCATTTGTCCCATTCTTGTTTTCTTTGATTTTTGTTTTGATCTGTGGGTGAGACTTATCAAGAATATCTTTCCAGACTCTTGATTTTTTTCTCTAGTTGTTTTGTTTTGTTTTGTTTTGTTTTTTTTTTTTTCAAAGCTCTGATTATATATAAGATTTTTTGAGTGAGATTTTTTTAGCTTACTTTTTGTTGTTCTCTATGCATTGCCCTAATAATTTTAGCCATGCAACTAATCATAAATGTGCTTGTTGATTCATTTTTTGGATTTTGTCATAGAGATCTATTTCTTTTCAGTTCAGCACTTGCACTTAAACACAAATGTATGGTGGTTGTTTTCTCTCTGTTTAATTTTGATTTTATGAAATGGAATCACGTCTTATGTATTTCACCTCTTTCATGTCTAATGTATATTGAGTATATATGTTTGATTTTTTTTTTTTTTTGAGCAATTATATGCATGTTTGTGATTTATTTGTTCATCGGTTGAAATGGGTGTTTTTTAAGATCGGATCGATATGATTTTGCTATAATATTTCACCTCTAATGTTCCTGTATAATGTATATTGAGTGTATATGTCCCCGATTCTTTTTGAGGAATTATATTGTTGAGATTTTTTTGTTCATCTGTGTTTGAGATTTTGCTATAATATTTTTGTTGATCTACTATGTTTCTCTTGGTGAGCCACAGATTTTGATTCCTTTTGTGGCTGTTATGAAATGTTTTTGCTTTTATTTATTTAAAATAAATTTTTTAAATCTGATTATATTGAAGATTTTTTTAAAGCAAGATTTTCTTTGGGATGGCAGATACAACATTGTAGAATTAGAACTTATGTTTCAAATTAAAGCTTTCATGTCTAATGTATATTGAGTGTATATGTTTAAGATTTCATTGTTCAATAAATGAAATGAGTTTTTATTTATTTATTTATTTATTTTTTTTTATAACAGAATGATTTATTTTGCTATATATAATCTTTATGTTTATCTATTAAGCTAGTTTGCTAGCTAATTGTTTCATTTTGGGTATTTTGTTGCAGTGAGCTACTTCTTTCCCGTTCTTCTGAACTGAGAAACAAGGATATATGGACATCACAACAAATATTATTAATGGTGCTTTGGCTTTGCTAGCTTATAGCAAGGATTTTTATACCTCTAGGCGTCCATTGTTTGATGGTTCAAAAAGTCTGGTGGGTTATATTCTGTTAGAGATGGTGTCTGTTCTAAAAGACCTAAAATCATTTCTAACCTTTGTTGTTGAAGCTAATATCTCCATGCATGGATACAAGCAGCAAGGAGATGAACATGACGAAGAGGAAGATAAAGAGGCAAAAGAAACATCTCAAAGTGAGCAAAAGTCTAACCTCTGTTGGTCATTTGAGTTTCCACAAACTGTTGGACCGTGAGCCACCATAATTCTCCCCTCCATAAACTAAGGAGCTGCGAGAAATGGGGGATTCCACCTTTTTTCACAAGGAATCTAAATTGGCAGAATTACAGAATTTAGGCAAAATATAATAAAATATTCATTTTTATGACATGAGGAGCTAGATAATAGTGGGATGACCATTTAGTTTGTAAGTCCAAGCTCACTTTGCCTGGAGAATATGTGATCTGAACATGTTACATGTTGTGGTATATGGTGCTCCTAATCAGTTTAGCAGTCAAGAAAATCCAGTTTAATTACATGTCTAATGTATATTGAGTGTATATGTATAAGATGTTTTTTGTTCATTAGTCAAGATGAGAGTGTGTTTTTAAGATCGAATTGATGATTTTATTATAATCTTTTTGTTGATCTATTACCTAACTTAGCTGTTTAATGCTTTTGGCTTTTATTTATTTACTAGCATTTTGTATGCGCGATGTGTAAAAATACATGACTGATATATATTATAACATTGACAAATTAAATTTAAATAATTAAAAATTATAGTTCAATTTATATATATACACAAATAATATATGTATTATACACACGTATGATTTACCATTCTTAGAAATTTAATTAAAATATAATCAATAATTAATTTAATTATATAATAATTTTAATAAATGCTAATTAAATAATAGAAAAAAAATGATAGATATAAGTGTATGGTAATAATGATGGAGTCATCAATGTTAGAATTAAATAGTAACAGAGTTATAACGGTGTAAGGGGTAGTTTTGTCTAACAAGAATGTAATAGGTACAATTTTGTCTAATAAAATTAAAGTATACAACATTTAAAGTAAAATGTATACATTTATTAGCATAAAAAGGGACGTAAATCAAGAATATATATAAAATTGGATAGATCAAGACTTATTATATTTTTAGATTGTTTTATTTGATTACATGTAAGAATTTTTGAAAGCTAGACTTTCTATGGGATTGTAGAATGTAGATTCAACATTGTAGATTACTAGATTTAGATCTTATGTTTCACCTCTTTCATATCATAAGTATATTGAGTGTATACATAAATGGGCTATCATAAATTGACAGACCCAACCTAGCGTTAAAAAATGAATCCAAAACGTAACCCTTATGATTTTACTTCCTAATGTATACACCGGAATTGGCTATCATGAAATATTACTTATTCCATCCTACTTAATCCTACTTTCTCTTTGTAGTCTGTCTAAAGATAATGTTTACGCTATTAATCTATATCTATTCTATATATATATAAAAAT